GGTGCCCCCCCCCCCCCCCTTCCCCCCGTGTGCCTGGGGGGGGGGGTCGTGCAGCTCCTGGATCTTAGCCTCTGAGCCCTCCGCACCCCTCCCCAGCCCCCTTGGCCTCTCTGAGCCGGGGAGGGCTCCCCAACATCCCCAGGCTCTGCACCATGCCTTGCCCCGGGTGCCAAATCCCAGCCTGTCCCGCAGGTGTTTGGGGCCCCTGCGGAAGCCGTAAAGGATCCCCCCTTCCCCAGAGATCCCCGCGCCCTTGGAGCAGGGTCAGCCTGCGATCCCCTTTCACAGCAGTACAGACCGGGGGCTTCGTCTCCCTTTGAAGGGACCCTGATGAGCGAGAGGAGGCCTTGGTGGAGGGGACCGCTCTCCTGGGGGCTGGGCTGTCTCTGCTCTGCAAGCAGCCTGCAGGGGCCCAATCCAGACAGCGTTTTGGAGGTGCTGCTGGCAGGGCAGGAGGGGGGGCCTGGAGGCCTGCGCTGCCCCCAGCACGGATCCAGGATGCCCCTGCAGCCGGGGGAGGGCAGCTCCAAAGCCATCCTGACCGCTCTCCTCCCTGTGAGGCTTCCTGAGGCTGCACGGTGCCGTGCCCCAGCGGAGCGTGGCCGCCGGGGACCGGGATCCCCCCGCACCCAACCCCAGCCTTCTCCCCACGAAGCCTCCCCAGCACCCGTCCTCCCCAGGGCCAGCCCCCTTGGTCCCTGCTAAAAGAGGGTGAGATGGGTCGGGGGGCTGGCCCTGGCTGGGGGTGAGAGCAGAGAGTCTATTTAGAGGGTAAATGAGACATCTTTACTACCCGCTCCCCCCCAACCACTGCCTCTGTTTCCCTAATTGTTCCCTCCCTTTCTGATGCTCTATTGTTTCTAATTAAGGGCTTGACTTCAATAGGCCTTAAATGGTGATTCCTGGGGGTCCCCGGCTGGCAAACAGCAAATAGGGAGCGCTTCTCCCCCCCCCATTCCCCCCAAAAGTGACCTTATTAAGCAGTTTGATTTGCCCATTTCCACTTGTTATTACTGGTAATGATCTCAGGGAGGGGGAGCCCCGGAGCTTTTCTTCGCAGCAGCCTGCAACGCTCTGCTCGCGGGGGAGTGCTTTTAGTGCCCCCTCCCCGGCGAGGTCTCCCCGTTCACCGGCTCTTCCCCCCTTGGGTTTGCCCGCGCATCCCTAACACCAGGCTTTTTCTCTCTCCCTCCCTCCCCGTCTCTCGGTCTCAAGGTATGGTTCAAAAACCGCCGGGCCAAGTGCCGGCAGCAGCAGCAGCAGCAGCAGAACGGGGGCCAGAACAAGGTCCGGCCAGCTAAAAAGAAGAATTCGCCGGCCCGGGAAGTGAGTTCGGAGAGCGGGACCAGCGGGCAGTTCACCCCCCCCTCCAGCACCTCGGTCCCCACCATTTCCAGCAGCAGTGCCCCCGTATCCATCTGGAGCCCAGCGTCCATCTCCCCGCTCTCAGACCCCCTGTCCACCTCTTCCTCCTGCATGCAGAGATCCTATCCTATGACCTACACCCAGGCATCAGGCTACAGCCAAGGATACGCTGGCTCGACCTCCTATTTCGGAGGGATGGACTGTGGATCTTACTTGACCCCTATGCACCACCAGCTTCCCGGACCGGGGGCCACCCTGAGTCCCATGGGTGCCAACGCGGTCACCAGCCACCTCAACCAGTCTCCAGCCTCCCTCTCCACCCAGGGCTATGGAGCCTCCAGTTTGGGCTTTAACTCCACCACCGATTGCTTGGATTATAAAGACCAAACCGCCTCCTGGAAGTTAAACTTCAATGCTGACTGCTTGGATTATAAGGACCAGACATCGTCATGGAAGTTCCAGGTTTTGTGAAGAACCTTTGTGATAACGAGAGAAATCGCGACGAGAACGAACAGGCTGGGCTGCACGCTCCAGTTTTAGTCAGGTCTTGGTTAAATTAAAGAGAAAAATAACTCAACGGACAAACAAACGAACAAAAAAACGACAGCGACAAGAGGGGGACAGTGTTGGTGTGATCCCGTTCAGACTCATCTCCTGCTCAGACGCTCTGGAAAAAGGAATAATGAAGAGGAAAAACGGAGGAGGAAGGCCTTAAACGGACAGATCATCTAGTGAGCAGAAAACAGACAGACCCATCTGTGTTCTTTCTAGTTTTAGGCGATTGTTGGGTTTCTTTGTTTGGAAGAGGTGGGAGATCGTCCCACCTATCGGCCAGTTTTAAAAAAAAAAAAAAGAAAAAAAAGAAAAAAAAAAGAAAAAAAAAGTCTAGGTTTTTATTTCTTTTTTTGTGTGTGCGTGGAAAGATCCTTCACCCAGAGGTTTCCAATGTGTTAGCCAACCCTCGGTTAAAATATTCGGAATGGACAGCATCTCTCTTTTTCTCCCTCTCTTTCTCCCTCCCTCTTTCTTTCTCTCTCGCTCTCGAGCTCATCCAACTGTTTCATGCCCAACTTGCTCAAGTTGGCACCCGGAGAACTTGGTTCAGGGCTGTGTGGGTTGTGTGACTGATTGTCCTAGCTGCACTACTTTATTTAAAGATAAAAAAAAAAAAAGATAATGTTCATAAGGAGTCAATATGTAGTTTTTAAGAGACAATCAGTGTGTGTCTTATATAAATGGTACATCTGTGGTTTTTAATCTGTGCTAGACTTCAAAACTGTGATCTCCTGTATTGTATGCAACTATGAACTCCGCACCAGCGGGAGTTCTGCTGTGATTTAAATAGGTTATAATTATAAGTGAAATTCAGAGCAACTGAGTTACCTATTATCATCTTTTAAAAAATAATAAAATATATATATTAAAAAAAAAAAAAAGAAAAAGAAAAACACAAAAACACGATCGCCTTTCACCCGAGGTGAACTGCACTGAAACTTTTTACAGCAAACTGTCTCTGAATGAAAGAGAAAAGACCGAAAAAGCCCCACCCGAGGACATTAAACTCCTCTGGAGCTCTCTTACTGCCGGCCACGCTGGCAGTAACCATCAAATCCAGCAGGACTTTGGGCAGTTGCTCTGACCTGGATGAATTTAAACCGAGAAATTAATTGTCGTTTATGCTTGCAGATGTTAACTGAAAAAAAAAAAAAAGATAAATATGCATAAACCTTTTTTCCTGGATTTGGCAGATATGTATAATTATATTAAAATGGTTCTAGCACACTTGATGGTTGTCTTCCATTTTAATCGCATCCGGCGAGTGACGGAGAGGGGCGATGCCGTCTGCCGCAGGGATTTCTCGGTTG